TGCTTTTTTTTTTTTATTTTTTTTTTTTTAATTATTATTATTTTAATTTAAAATGCAATAAAAAAAGATACATGAAATTGGGGCTGTACAATTTGGAAATGTAAGATTCTTTTTAAATGTTTTTGATTTAAAATGCAATTAAAAAACAAAATGTTAATATTGTAATAGTTCACTGTAAAATAGAAAATTGAGTGCTCTTATCAGATCCGTTAGTTCAGGGAGCGTTGCAATATATATTTTTTTTAATTTCCATATTTTTAGTTACAGTGTACTAAAATATGATGAATATCTCAAAATATAAACTTTCTAAAAAAAAAAAAAACTTGAGAGAGCATCAGCTGTGGAAGTGCAGATGGAAACTAGAAATGCTAAACTCATGAAGTGCATGTTATGATACAAGTGACTGTATTTCACAGCGGTTGTGTGATGTTGCATCCTAAATGATGCGCAATTAATTTACATTTATGCATTGAACACACACTTTCATCCAAAGTGACTTACAAAAAGCAATTTGTTAAAGAGCCAACAATATTTGTAATATACAATGCCAGGTTTATTAGACAACTACATTAGGAAGCAAACTAGAAAACAGAAGAAATAGATGACTGATCTGGCTGTTTAGGATGACGCGGGTTTCATAAAACTGAATTTCAAAGCTCAAATGCAGCCTGTATTTCATGATGCTGGATTGCTAATATAAACTGACCTGTTGTGTGTAGGAAACTGACTCAGGAGGAGCTGGAGAGACGCGAGAAGGAGTCGAAGCTGTCGGAGGTGGACAGTAAAGCTCTGTGCTCAGAGGAGGATGTGAGAGCCCTCAAACAGAAGATCAAGGACATCGAGGATGAGATGCAGCAGAACGAACGCTCTCTGAAGTCTGAGGTGAGAAACATTTACTGCACAGAGTCACTGTATTCTCAATCCGGCACATCAGTCTCGATCTCAACTCCCTGCCTGCGCTTTCTAACAGGTGGCAATCCAGGAGAAGAAAGCCCATGAGAACTGGGTGAGTGATTACCACGCTTCGTCTTTGTAATGAAAACTAGAAGCTTTTTGTCTTTTGCATTAGAGATGCACTGACTGATACTGATAGCTTACAATTATTTCAAATCATTACAATTAAATGACAATTAAAAAAAGCAGATAATTACTGAAACTTAAACTTGGCTAATGTTAATACCAATAATGCATTATTATTAATACTAATGTTATTGGCTAATACTGATATATTTACCAATGTTTTAATCATACTTTATTTTCTATAGTTGAAAGCCCGCACCTCTGAACGAACTCTGGTGGAGGAAAGGAGAGAGTCGGCCACCCTTCGTCAGAAGTGAGTAGTATTCTCCATATCATTGCTGTTATTGTCAGAGTTGTTTCTGATCTCTGGTGTTTGTGCATTTGTAAAGGCTTGTGGAGTACGGAGATAAAATATCAGACCTGGAGCAAAGTCTGTTCAAACTCAACTCTGGACCTCCAGATCGCCACATGCAGCCACAGAGAAGAAGTGAGCAGTTTCTGTCCTCTAATTCACTCTTCACAGGGACTTTACAACACAAACGACCCACGTAACGGCTGCTGTTAGTCTGGCAGGCTTTTGCATAATGCAGTGTTGTTAGGAAAAATATTAAAAATCATTTGTTAATTGAAATCAAATATAAATATTAGATGAAAAACTAGATGAAATAATTTTTTTTTGTAAATAAATGAAAGAAAATACAAAAAATATTTTTTAAAACAAACAAAAACTGACAAAAGCTTAAATAAAATAAAGACTAAAATGAATAAAACAGAAATAAAAATTTATGCAAAATAGAAATTTATAAAAAAAAAAAAAGACAAACATTCAGTCCGACAGTCTTTTTTTTTTCTTGTATGATGCAATGCGGTTATTGTTAACTGAAACTAAAAATCATTGTCATTAATTGAAATTAAATATAAATATTAAATGACAATTTTTAACTAAAATAAGTACTAAAATAAACTGAAACTGAAATAAAAAAAATCATTAATGATCAATAGAAAAAATATATATAAAAAAAGACAAACTAATGACTTTCTTTCTTATATAATGCAATGTTGTTGTTGTTGTTGTTAACCAAAACTATTTCAATAAATTTCAAATAAAACTGAAATTGTTCTAAATAGCAGTTAGAAATATATTTTTTTAAAGAACTGACAATGACAAAACCACATTTAGTCTGACAGGCTATTAAAATAATTTAAATAAAGCTGAAATAAAATGTAATTATTACATAACTTAATAGCTAGATAGAAAAACTATAAAAAAAAACAATGACAAAAGCATGTAATGAAATGACTAAAAATAATGAAAGCTGCTAAAAAATAACTACTATAATAGTATATAAATATTAAGATAACTTTGGTATAATGTAATTCCAGAGATGATGCAAGCAGTATTTTTATCTTTCATTGAAGTAGACATTTTACATTTTTCTAAGATGACGAAAAAAAACTCCAGATAAAGAATAGTAAAGTAAGAATACAAATACTTATTGATAACAAGCTACTTTCGTAAGCTTGTCTGACTGAGCAGCAGTAACTGAGGGGCGGAGCTTAGCGCAGGGTTGATTCCTGTCATGTGTCCGGTATTGTTTTTGATTGTGCCGGTTTGGTCTGAGCAGGTGACTCGTACGGGCCGTCTCCTGTGAGTGGGGGGGCTCCCTCTCCTCCTCTAATGATCGAGGGTCCCGGACGCCCCCCCTCTGCACCTGTAGGGCGAAGGGGCGAACCGTTCGGTGAGTCGCCGCTGCGTCATCCTCCTCCCCTTGACATCAACTTAATCCTCCTCCTTTCATTTTTCCAGCTTTCCTGTTTTTGAGTCGCTCTACGTTTTTAGATCGCCTGTCATTTCCCCCTCAGTTTCTCTCCTCACAGCATTTCTTTCTGTCTTTGTCATTGAAAGCGCTCCTGATACGTTTGCTCCTGAACTCCAGCATCTAATGTCAGTATAAAATGATTTATAACGGCTCCTAATCACTTGTGATCTGTTCCAGGTCCACGACCCCCGTCTGACCCTCACGGACGCTTCTCAGAGCTCGGACACCCGCTGCCCTCCAGACCAGGTGCTTATGATACGAGCCGTTATAAAGCAGCTGCATTTGTTTATAAAATTAAATATTATTATTATTATTATTATTTAAAATAACCGTTTTCTGTTGTAATACATTTTAAAATGTAATTTATTTCTGTGATCAAAGCTGAATTTTCCAGTCCTCAGTGTCACGTGATCCTTCAGAAATCATTCTAATATGCTGATTTGCTGCTCGAGAAAGATTTCTGATTATTATCAATGTTGAAAACAGCTGTGCTACTAAATATTTTTGTGGAAAGTGTGATACATTTTATTTTTCATGATTCTTTGATGAATAGAAAGTTCAAAAGAACAGCATTTATTTGAAATAGAATCATTTGTAACATTCTAAATATCTTTACTGTCACTTTTGATCAAATTAATGCATCCTTGTTGAATAAAAGTATTAATTTCTTAAAAAAACAAAAAGGAATGTTACCTTTCCTACTAAAATAATTACTAAAATAACTAAAACTGAAATATAAATCAATCAAAGCTAAATAGAAAAATTATATTAAAAAATAATGACAATGATTATATAAAAAAGAAAAAAAATTAAATTTTTTTTTACTTTTTTTGTGATTTGAAATATAGCTGAAATAAAATAAATATTTGATAAATCTTGAAAATATTTATATTATACTGAAATAAAGCTAAATAGAAAAATGTAACTTTTTTTGTGATTCTTTAATGAATAGAAAGTTCAAAAGAACAGCATTCATTTGAAATAGAAATTGCTTGTAACGTAAAACTCTTTACTGTCACTTTTGATCAATTTAATGCATACTTGCTGAATAAAAGTATTAATTTCTTTCAAAAAAAAAAATCCCCAAACTTTGAAATAGTAGCGTACGGTTTTTACAGTCATTGTTTATTACGTTAACATTTAAATACTCCATGTAAAGAGTTCACTGAATCCTAAATCTAATATTGTAAAGAAAATAAATATTTAAATGTGAATTTTCATCATTTAATTATATTATTTCTTAATTTTTTAATAAATGTGGACTGTATCAGATATGGTTTGAATTGCACAGTTTAAGATCTACATTATATCTGCATTCACAGATGTCCAAATGTCTGTTTTTCAGAAATGTTTCCTCCGATGAGTTCATCTCCCTGTGCACATGATGGACCGATGGTAAGGATCACAGCGGTCACGCTTTTCTCTGTTTGAGATTTGATGTACATTGTGTTCAGATGTGAGCGAGGAGATCTCCAGTAAACGTGTGTAAGAAACAGTCATGTTGTTCTCCATTAAACGACACTGGGTGTGTTTGCTTTAAAGCAGACGGCACTGGTCAGTGAGACGGCCGAGGCCTCCGAGCAGGTCTCGTCTGAGCCAGTAGAGCCTGTGAGTACAGCAGCTGGGTGCTGGGATGGATGGGACGGCTTTGTGCACAGTGCCAGGTTGCTTTGTCAGCTGTTTTTGGGTCTTCAGAGCCTGATTAAACACGTCTTTCTGTTCAATTTCTAATCACTGTGTGGGTCTTGTGCTCGGAATGTGGCGGATGTTTAACAAAACTCATGTTGGTGAGTGAGTTACAGCATGTACAGGCCTGAAACACACTCTACACAAGTGCATGCATGCAAAATAGCAGTGCAAGATTGATTTGTTGTGATTTCATAATGGAACACAACAAAACTTTATCGGCCCCTGTGAGTAGTAAGGTATATTACCACCACAGTGACACAAGTGCATGTTAAGTATGTCCAATTTAATCGAATGTAAAATTAAAATAAATAAATAGGGCTGCTCAAATAATGCAGCTTCATCTCTGCATGTCCTGCAAGTTTAACGTGCATTTGGTAATGCAACATTTGTCACTTATGCTTTTAGACATTTTCATCATTTCAAACATTTTTGTGGACGGAAGTATTCTGCCAAAATAAAAGCTTGAGGCTTTGAAATGTCAAAAGCTTGAATATTTTAAAAATTTAAATATTTTATAAGTTATAAAAGCTTGAGTACCCATTAATAATAACTTTAAGACATAAATATTATTATTGTAATATTTGTTTTTACAGAACAATTGTAATTTACAACCGTTGAATCTTTTTTCTAAACCGTTATGATAATTAAGCATTGAAGTGTTAAAAGCTTGAGAGTTTGAACATTTGAAAGTGAAGAATTTAAGACATCAATATTAATATTGTAACTTAATGATAATATACAAAATGATCAAATATTATTTTACATTATACATTTATTTTACAACAGTAAGATAATTTCTTTATTCATTTTTAGTCAACAATTATTATAAATATTATTAATCAAGCTTGAGTGACTTTGAGCGTTTGAATTTAAGACACATTAGTATTGTAACTTGTGTAAAATAATGATCAGATATTCAGTTTATTTTACAGTACCGTTGTAATTTACAACAGTAATATTTTTTTCTTATTTAGAATTAGTTAGATTAGTAATCAACAATAATAATAATATTATATTAATAGTTAATGATCAATAGAACTGATAATTATTACTGCTATTATTATTATTATATTACATTTGATTGGGGTTCCTAAAACACCAGTGTGACCATTAAACAACATCAGAGAGCCATGCGCATTCATGTGAATGTTAAATTATTGAAAGAACTTAATCTCATGGCGACTACAAGTATTTGAATATTAAAATATTTTGTGTTTAAGATGTTGGGGTAATAAAAGGGTTAGTGAATCCCTGCACTTGTGTCTGCTGTTGTTCTTGTATAAAGTGTGTTTCTGGCCTTGCAGTGGTTCACTGATGTCTGCTTGGGTTGGTTAACAGGAATCCGGTGTTAAACCACCTCAGAGCTCTAGAGAGTATTTTTCCGTAACCTGTAGTTCTGCATTTTCTCCTCCAGCTCTCTAAGTCTCAGAGTCAGGGATCCTTCCTCCCGTCTCCCATCCGGGATTCTCCGGTTCTGCCACCCAAGTCTTACGGACCCCCGGTCATGCCGCCTATGATGATCCGACTGCACATGATGCCTCCAGAGCCGCGCTATAGACCGCCACCCATGGACTCCTACGGCCCTCCACCTCCGATCGGCCCGTTTGGACCTGTACCGCCACCGTTTGGTAAGAGATTCAACACTGCTGAAACTAGTGATGCACCAACATTAACTTTTATTAAAGATTTTAATTAGCCAAAAGTTTATTAATAATCAGTTAATCCGATTTATTTACTAATGAACACTCAAATAAACCAGTTGTGTGTATATATACTGTGATACTCGGATACTGTGATTTCCTTCTCACATGGCTGATTTCACCATTAAGTCTTCACCTGAACAGTTTATGTTGCTGTATTATGGTATCATTGTAATCCTTGACCATCAAAACATAGGGGTAGACATCACCTTTTCTGTGTTTTCGTGGTTTTTGGTTCAGGAGCTAGATACATAATTTGGTTATGGTGGAACTTAAAATGGTCGCCATGGCAACCACGAGGTGTTTTTGCGATGGCGCCATTTCTGAAAATGTTTAGGGCCGCAAAACTATCCAAGTGTACCAAGTTTCATGCTTTTATGAAAAAGTGAACATTTTCACATATCACCTGGACTAATAAAACGTTTAAATTGCACATAAAACGGTTTAAATATAAGCTTTTTAATAATTACGTTTCTACTCGAGTTCATTGTTAAAATATGAACTTTTAAAAACTTGTTTTCATGAGATTTATCAAAAATACATTGAATAATGAAGACAACATTATTAAATATATTTTAATATGTAATGTTATATTAGAATAAATAATATTTGAAACGTATGTAATATAGTGCACATTTAGCAAAATGCTCCTCTTTAGAGTTGTATTTTGTTTCTAGCTGACTAACAAGTTTGTGGACATTGAATGGCTTGTTTCGTGACATTGCTTACATACGGTTTTATTGATGTCTTTACTAATATTTGTTTTTGTGAAAACGAAGACTTTTTAAAGCTTATTTTAAAATATTTTTTTGAATAATTGTATAAATATTATTGCACTGTATTAAATTTTTTAAAGAAACCAAAAATAAAACAAATGTTATTTTATAATTAATGAATTAATCAAATTTGGAGTTGTACATTAGAATTATACACAAGTCAGTTTTGGAGGGCTGAAGTTATTGACTGAAACTATTTTGAAACTTAAAACTGATGTCTCGGCTGAAATATTTTGGTTGCATCACTAGTCTTTGTGGTTACAGCGATCTGTCATTCCACATTAAAGAGTGTCAAAACTACATTTATTTTTTTGTTTCATTATAAAATTGATGATTTGAAAGTTAACTGAAAAAAACTTAAAATTTGTTGGCTTGAGAAAGCCTAGCCTGAGAGTTTGAAGCAACTGTAAAAGCTTGAAGTTTGAATAGATAGATAGATGGATGTTGCTAGCATGATTTAGCATGTTAACATGTTTTAACACATTGTTAGTATGATTGTTCTTAGCATGTTGTCAACATGGTTACCGTGTTGCTAGCTTGTTTTTAACATGATTAGCATGTTTTAACGTTGTTAGCATGATTAACATGTTGTTAGCATGTTGGTAACATATTTCTAACATAATTAGCATGTTAATATTATGTTGTTTACATGATTATCATGTTGCTAGCATGTTGATGATGAAACAGAAAATTGCTGTTTCGGCTTAAATATTTTGGTTGCTGAAATTTTGGTGCATCACTAGTCTTTACGCGGTTACGGCGATCTGTCACGCCACATTACAGAGCGTGAAAACTACATTTATTGTTTGTTTCTTAATTAAATTGACAATATGAAAGTTAATCAGACGTCACAGTTTTGTTCAGTGATTTTGGATATTAATTTTCAGTGCATCTCTAAACCTTGCGTTGCGTTTTGCTTGATCAGGACGAGGCCCGCCGTTGGGACCGCTTCCTCCTCCGCCGCTTGGACCGCGGGACATCCCGCCCGAATTCTTCGGCCCCCGCGGACTCCCCCCTCGACCCTTCCCTCCCGGAACTCTGCCGCCTCCCGGAGCCATGATCCCGCCTCCGTACGGCGGGCGCGGTTTCCCAGGACCCCCTCCGCTAATCCCTCAGCGCTCCAGAGACGGCGAGGGGAGCGCCACACCAGCCAACGACCCGCCAACGAATGCATCCCATCAGCACAGCGAGCCTTGACATGAGAACGTGCCGATTCTTCTCAATACTTAACCATCAAAATCTGGTTTGGGTGGAAGAAAACACGTTATTTTGTTTGAATAACACATTTGTGACCGAAATAATGAGGGATTTTGATTTTATACCTTAGCAAACCTTTCCTATGGAAATAGTTTGATTTAATATGCATTACAATAGTTTTTCCGGTGGTTGTCATGTGGTTAAATTAAGATCTCTACCACTTGACCCAGTGCTGATGCATTCTGGGATGTCAAACTGATATTTAGACGCGTCGTGAAGTTATTACCTCATGCCTTTAATGTGAGAGGATTTTACATATTTTTATGCCTTTTCACCATTTTTGAACGCCCATATTACTGCTTTTAGTCTGATGATTCGCCTGCCCACTTGATTATTTGCCAGCTCGCCTGTGTTAGTTTTAACGTTTGATTCGTCGTGCGTCTGCTCTTATGATTTCTTTTCCTAGCGGAAAAAGGCACATATGATGTCATATTGACAAAGTATTTGTACATTTCTTTCAGCTGCGTATACAATAAAATATTCTCACAAATCAGACACAATAGAAACAGATGAACGTTGTGTGTTTGCGCATCTGAGCTTTCCTAGTCAACAGGTGATTTAAATGTATTATTGGATGTTGCATGATGATGAAACACGAGCAGAATGAATTTTTGACAAACTCTGTGACTTGATTGTGACAGTTACGTCAAAACATTCATGAAAACGAAATAGTCTCATTCGATTCATGAGCAAGTGTCGCACATTCATCGCAAATGATTCATTGAATTGTAATAATTTATATATATATATATATATATATATATATATATATA